AAATGTTTGGCAGGTAAATAGGTAATTTTGCTATTATAGCCATTTTACCTAATGATTATACACAATTAGAATACATTTAGATTTAGAGTATAGCAAGAGCCTTATTTGTTTTTTTTTTTTAAAAGAGCAGGGAGAGGTTAGACCCTGTGTCAACATGGTAACCTGTACAGGGAGTAAAAGGAAATTTCCCCAATGGGGCAGCTGAAAAAAACCCAGAAACCTGACAAGTTCTAACTTTTTCCCGATTTAATAAAAACAAAAATAACATGTTAGCAAGAATTTCACAAAAAAAATTCCACAAATTCCACAAACCATTTCTTCCAAAAAATTATGGGACAGAAACGATTTTACCAGAATCACAATTAGCTATCAGCTTATCCTGCTGTGCCTTGTCAAGGAAGCTGCTGCCAAAGGTTAATTCCAGTCCACTATTAAAGCTTTACATGAACATAACAAATAATGAAGGCAAAAAGGTAAAAAAAATACAGAGGGATAGCTGTGAAAAATCCAAATCTGGTGTAATAAAAAATCCCCTTTAAAAGCATTGCAAGCACAAGAATTTGTGTATAATACTACTTGGATTTAAACAAACACTTTTCATCAAAGACATCTAAATAATCTTCCAATGCACGATGTAGTTAATGTAAGAAAAGCACACTAGAAAAAAAATGTTGCTGCCCATACCAACCAAGCAGCTTCCTAATGCTATTTCTGCAGTCTGCAGATTGATGCTACAAACAAAAAGAAAATTATCGTTTAGCACACGTTTCATACATCAACCGCTTTATGCTTTCACAATAAAAAAAACTGAAACCTTTTGCAAACTACTTGTTAAAAACAAGGACACTACACATACAATTAAAACATTATTTTACTGCATTGTCCTTAATCATTAGTGCTCTAGGTTATACATTTTGATTGAAATATTATTATCAGCTTTTATTATTAAGTGCAGTAAATAAAAAAAATAAAAGTCTTGGATTGCATACTCTTTAAATCTTTTTATATTGTCTTAACCTGAAATAAACAGACATGAAGGTAGGTTTTTCTGTTTTATACTTTTGTTATATTATTAAATTATACATAAAAAGTATTCATGTATAAAATAATTTTTACAGTTTTTTACAATAGATTTTTTAATCAATGTTTTTATATTAATTACATGTATTGTTATAAAACAAAAAAATCTCCTCAATTCTTCCTTATTCCACGTAGCTGCAAGCACCATAAAGCAAAGCTCCTCCTCTTGTCAGTTAATAAGGCTACATATATCAGTTTATAGATGTCTTAAAATCTAAAAAAAATGGTAGTCATAATTATTTCCTATGTTCCTGTGTTCCTCCTTTTTTGGCAACAATATGCAAAGAAATTGCAATGCTGCTTTTATAGTTAGGTCCTTTTTCTATTCTCCTCGGTAAGGTCCATATATGATTGTATAAATCTACAGAAAAGAGCAGGTTACTGTGAACAAGAACCCAATATTGATTTTTCTGCGGTGCAGTAAAGCATCTCCATTCTATTTGGCTTCTGTCAGAGACACTCTTTAACAGCTGGAGTCAAATTGCACTATTTACAGCAAGAGTCCTTGTCAAACGGACCATAAGTATTCTAACAATACACTATTCAAATGGCACTTTGCCACACAAATTGGCGACTTGATGAATGCCCTTTTGTCGAACGTGGAAGCCAAAATCAAAGTTAATTTTTTTACTATGAGGTTTTTTTTTTTTTAATTAAATATAGTCCTTTTTACTCTACCATCACATTGAAAGTTGTCCTGGATATCAATGAGTTAAAAATGTTGGTTGAAAAAAAAGTACTATTACACCATATAACATAGGGATTGTGATGTTGAAAATAATTAAAATCTGCTTAGATACATCAAAGATCCTTGACAACATTAATATGGATCTTGTGTCAACTGCATTTGTCACACAAGGCCGAGCAGTGGCCTTCTGTTACAAGGAGTCCACTCGGCACGTGCACTACAATAACTAAATAAGAAAGGACAGGGGACCATGAAATTAAGGCATTCTTCTTTTGTAACATAGATTTACATGAGCACAAATGCTGTGACATGGCAAAGTCTTTGAAGTTCGGCTGTGCTGAACAGCCCTCTTCCTACATTAATATGCAAATCGGAATGGATTAACCTGCTGGTCTCCCTGAAAGCATGACAACAGCAGTAACTGAGATGCAACCAGAGGAATACTTTACTCTGCTATTGTCTACTGTCATAGCACATTTATTGCCTTATAAAAAAATCCAGAGGGAAATTTTAGGTGAACACCACATGGATTTTAGAAAATATTGCATTTACTTTTAAAAGGAATTTCAACATTATAATATTTTCAATAACAAGCAATGAGATTAAGAAATTAGATGGTTATAAAGTTCCCTCGTCTAATCAGCTACAATGTTGACTAATAAACTATAGCGAGTGAGTTTTCATTCAAGTCTTGACAACTCATGTTTGCTTCAAGAGCTGAATCAAGTTAAGAGGAAATACAAAGTACAAGATCCACTGTAATGGAATCAATGACCTACAAAAGAAAATTTGGACATACAACAAGTCACTAATTAGTGAAAGTAACATGTTTCTGCTGAGCCTGTCAGTAACAGCATTAAAGTTACAACCCAATAAAAAATGTAGTTAGAGTTATAGTATGTTGAAATATTTTCTGCAGCATCCAGGCGCACAGCAGTTTAAAAAAACATGCAGCCTCTATGTAGATGACAGGCTGCTCTTGGGAAAAAAGTGCTGGAGAATTAATTAAAAGGCACCAAGACTTCAGATTTTCCACAGCTGATTATTTAGCAGGGTCATTGTAAATTTAAAAGCATTGATCTCTGTGAAAGATCAGGGAGATTTGCGGTAATGTGAAATCACTGTCACAATGGTTCTATAGCTTTTGGTTGTATATACAGTGCCCACTACCGCATAAATATACAAATAAATAACATAGTAATAAACTCTAAGTATAAAAATAATCAAAAGTTCAAATAACTATGCACTATTTTACTATTTTCAGCAACAGTTATTGAAAGAAAAGGTTTGTGAGATTTAAGTTTACTAAAGGTGCCTTCCATTTACAATTTATACATTGCTCATGTTCAAGTAAAAATATGAACTGTGTAACTTCAGTGTCCCTTATTCCCCAAATTAGACCAGCATTGTTAAAGGGAACATGGCAGATCAGCAAAGCTGGGACATAGTCCTTTGACATCCAAGCCAAAGTTTTCAAAAAGTGCACTTCACCCTTCTCCTAGACTGAGATGGCTAATGATTGCCTATAATAGTGACTAAGGTTGGGCAAAGTGCAGAAATGACATTCACCATCCCCTTCTCCTTAAAGAAAGAAATTGGGATGGGCAGAGTTGCATCATGGTTAAATCAGTGTGATTTAGTTATAAGCAGTATGGTAAAACAGACAGATTTTCATGTATAGTATGATAACCACATTTTATTTATGCAATGTTCCCCTTTTCTAAAGACAACAGTCACATTACATTTCTGGTTCAAAGCATGGCAAATTAAATTTGAGACTTTTTAAAATTGGGGAATCTTTGTAATATAGCGCTACAAGTGGACAAAAATGAAGAAAGTTTATAAACAAACAGGAAAAAAAACCATGAAAAAATAAGTGAGGGAAGAAAAAAACAATATTCCTTTTAACACCCAGGTTTGCTGGAACTGACATTATGACATTATGTGCAGGTTAACACAAAGTTGATTCATACAGGAGTATGTCAAATCTACAGGCCAGTCCTGCAGATTACAACAGGAGAATATCTCTCCCCATCTCATCTGCAGGGCACAGGTTCTGTTGTCAGTTTGACAGCCAAGGGGAGAACAATTCTGCCTGTGTATTGTAAAGGACAATGTCAGTTTCACATTGGGGTCCTCTGGAAAACTGGCAGAAGCAGGAGAAGCTCCAGCTCCAGCACCACAGCACCAAAGACAGAAGTCTCTCCTGCCATAGCCTGGGCCCACTACCAAGGCTCCAACATGCCACCCAAGACTGTCATCTTTGACTGTCAAGACTAGTGCTAGTTCCAGGGAAGGCACATCACAGTACAATGAACTGTAAAGGTAAATACACTCTCGGCACAAACACCAGTCCCAGTAGTTCAAGTAAAAGGTTCTATTTTAAAATGTCTACTGGGTCCAAAGTCTTCCAAGTTGTGTTCCTCTGATCTATATAGGACGGTGAGTCAATACGATGGCCCTGGATTATGCACCTTCAAAAACAAGTCAGTAATGGCAACTCCCAGATATTCTATCCTAACAGATATAATAGGGACATTCACACTTGATACAAATTGTACATGTTCACCCTCCATTCATTAGCAGAGCCAAATGTGTAAAGAGAAATATGAGATATAAACAACAGAAAAAGGCCGCACCTTAGAAATCAGACATGGCACCATTGCCTAGCTTTAAAATGTAGGCAGTTAATTAGGTTATTTGTCCACTGTGGGAAATATCTATATTGTATTTACTAAAAACACAGAATATCCCTTTAACAAAGCTGTAATGTGCTGTTCCACCTCACCTTCTACTTTGGTGAGAAGAATTCATCCATGTGGTCCTAGGACTCCTAGAGGTGGGTGCCTTTTTCAGCAATACAATTAAAATAAGTGTAGCAGGACTATTACAAACAGAAGTGCTGGGCACATAGCTGAACATTACTGCTTGATTAATTTTGTTTGTTTTTGTTTACTACAAATAAATACTTGAATAAGACTCCAAAAATGTGTCATTAGAAAAAACCTGTTAAGTATTAATCAGTTTAAACCACGGATAACAGATACGACTGATCTATTACTGTTCAATGCTTTGTAAGATAGGACCTCATGAATTAATGTAATATTATTGTAAGACCCAAAAATATGTATTTTTGCCCCATGGTAGTGCTCCAGGCTTCTAAAAGCATGTGATAAGCCTTCTCAAATCTGGCCTAGATAGGTTTATCTGACATTCTATATTGTTTCCTTACTTTGTTTGTTGACTTTTCTGGATGGATCAGATTATGGGACAGGTTTCCAAGTTTGTATGAGTTTGATGTCTTGAAAGTTGTCCTAGTGTTTCTTTGTGTCTCCTGCGAAGTGTTTACTAGGGAATCTGTCATTTCAATGGTAAAATCTTCACATGCAGTAAGAATTGCTTTTGCTAGCTCTCCTGTTTCATGACGTTCCAAAGTGCCTAAAAAAATTGCAAATGATAGGCTCTGTTAGTGGATAGGTGATTTTGAATAAGTGAACATTGTTGACAAAGTCTGTAGCTCATTTTCTTTTTTAAAGCACATATATATAATCTGTAATTGGATGGGAAACTGGCTTAAATACCAAATTCAGAGAGTGGTGATCAATGATTCATACCCTGAATGGTCTGAGGTTGTTAGTGGTGTCCCCAAGGTTCATCATATACTCTAAGGGGGAGTATGTTTGGGGGAGTCAATGATGGAGAAAGATCTGGGTGTTCTGGTACATCATAGACTCAATAATAGCTTGCAATGTCAAGCCACATTTTCTAAAGCAAGCAAAATACTTTCTTGTATTAGAAGGGGTCTAGACTCCAGAGAGAGAGACATAATCCTGCCCCTGTACAAAGCATTAGTAAGACTTCATCTGGAATATGCAGTTCAGTTTTGAGCACCAGTTCACAAAAAGGATGTTATGGAACTGGAGAAAGTGCAGTGAAGGGCAATTAAACTCATAAGAGGCATAGAGGAGTTTAGCTGTGAGGAAAGATTATCTGACCTGACAGAGGTGATTAAGGGGGGACATGATCACCATGTATAAATACATAAATGGTCCATATAGTGAGCTTGGTGCCAAATTATTCACGTTAAGGTCATTGCAAAGGACAAGGGGGCACTCTTTGCGTCTGGAGGAAAAGAGTTTTAAAATTTGCATACGGAAAGGATTCTTCACAGTTAGAGCTGTGAAAATGTGGAACAGACTCCCCCAGGACCTAGTTCTAGCTAGCTCAGTTAACTGTTTTTTTAAAAAAAATGATTCCTAAATGCACACAATATTACTGGATATTGAGTTCTTATAAGTATATTAAGCACCAGGGATTGTTGATCCAGGGAGTATCTAATTGCCTTATGGGATCAGGAAGGATTTTTTCCCCTGTTGGAGCAAATTGAACTATGCCTAATAGGGGTTTTTTTGCCTTCCTCTGGATCAACAGTGGGTAACTGTGGGCATAGCGTTCTGTTTTAGGTTTTTCTTCTTTCCTTTTTTCTTCTTCTCTTATCTCTATAGGTTGAACTCGATGGACTTGTGTCTCTTTTCAACCTGACTAACTATGTAAGACGCAATGTTACCCTAAATTTAAGGATAGTAACTGCAGGAAAGCCTTGCATTTCTCTAAACACACATTTTCCAAATAAAGATCTCAGAAAAGTTGTTTCTCCCTGTAATCAAAACTATATATGAAACAAAAGCAGAACTTGAGAAATCTAGGAAGCAGACGTGGCTTTTTAACTCATCTTGTTCTTATGGTGTGACAAAACTGCTGCAGGATTTTTACTGAACCCGGGTCCTCTGTTATTCACGCATGTTGTTAGAGGCCTATGTTTTGCCCCTTCATTTCATGTATTAAAGTTACAGTGCAGGAAATTATGGATAAAGGTGTAGAAGTGTCAACAATCAGTGCTTGACAAAGATCATTCAGCTCAATGATCACAGTTAAAAACAAAAATTAAATTCCAATAAAGTAAAAAATATACACAGCATATAGCTGATATAACTAGACTTGTCATTTAGATTTGTAGAGCACTGAGTGTAATATGTATTGCAATATATGGTATCTATAATGTTTAATAGATGCATGGTAAAAATATTTTAGCAAGTCATTAACAAATATAGTCCAAATTAATACTAAGCCATAGCATTCTGCTTGTAATTAGCTTCTACCAGGCTAACGCAACAAAAGATATACAATGAAAACCAGAATTTGATTGATTGTTATAGGTTACAGAGCAGAGCCCTTATACAGGAGGACCAGGCATGGTATAAATTCAAACACTGCCCTCTAGTGCTTAAAAAGGTAAACAGCTAGGCATGCTATGAATAAAGCCACCTTTTATAGGGCAATAAATAGTGTCATCCATTTTTATGATGAAAAACCTTTACAGTCTCTGCACTTGATAGCACTCATTGTCTCAGTGGGATATCCATCTCTATGCAGAAAAAAAGTGCTCTAATGCAATTCGGACAGTCATATCCATGCTTGTCCTCAAACAATGAATGACATGTGATATTGGTGATTCTTCGGAAGGCATTTTATTGACAGTAGGACATGCCTAGCTACCTGCCCGGGCTGTCCTCAGTTAATTTAGACCCTAGGTTATCCTGATTTTAAAAATTGCAACATTATAGAAACATCTTTAGATATAATTATTTTTACTTAAAAGCTACCTGGCTGCTGTGTCTTTTACTAAAAATCTTCTGATGACAAATTAATCTATAATCAATAAGTAAGGCCTACAGGATAATAAATCAGCCCATATTTTGAAGATTATGATGCTTAACCTACCCAAGAATTTGATTACACAACTGAAATTAAAGTTTAAGTCATGGCATGTCGGAACACAATTAATTGGCAGCAGGAGTTATTTCTGCTGTAGGGTCTAACTGCAAAGGAGTTAGTCTGGCTAAATAATTATCTATCCAGGCAGGAATAAGAATGGCAAAAATGTAGGAAAAAAAATGCATGCACAATTCAGGAGTCTTGATATATTGCAGACTCAGTTATTGCTAGCAGCGGTCCTAAGCATGGTCATTCAGGGTGGGTACCCTCAACCCCCCGCCAACCCCCCCCCCCCCCCTTTATCTTCAGGTGGAAGCTTCTTGTTTCTGTCTCTCCCAGGAAGCTGAAGCACTCAGAAGACCTACAAGTCAGCAGAGGATATTGGGACGTTATTCAAAAAACTGGGAACAGGCTAACATTGGTTTGAGGAGCACTTGATCACGATAAAAAAAAAAGATGGTTGAGCATTTCCCACCAAACGCTCATACTGCTATGTTCTAATGGCTGGCAATGGCAATTTAAAGTCAAGAGGGAGCAGAAGAGGTGGATGAGGATATCCGTACTATAGACCTGTGCAAATATTTCATGGGAAATGTGCACCTAGTAATATATGGTTCCTGCTAAAAATGTGTTTCTGAAAATGTACCCGTTATTAAGGTAAGCTATCACAAATCTGAGCATATGATATAAAAAATATCATAGGATATGTTCTGTGAAAACTGTATTATCAGAGTCATAAAGTGCTGAAGTTATCTACTCTTTTTGTCTAATAGGGATAAATGTATCACCCACCAGGCAAACTTGTAATGGATGTGTATAGCACAAGTTGGAAGAAAGTGCAGTGTACCCTATTTGCCCTGCACAGGGATGGTAAAGTGGCTCTGTAATATTTGTGAGATTTAGCTTTCAATGGTAGCACATTAATGACGGAGTCCACTCGCTTACCACGTCTTTTAAAGGGCCTCTTCGCCCACTTTTATTAGAACCAACATAAAAGTCCACACTGTTGTTTCCCTCACAGGGGTCTTCATACACATTACAGCAAATAATGTTTGTCCAAGTCTCACCGACTACAGGTTGTTACACATACTTCATTTGTAAACGGCTCCCTCAGCCTCCTCGGCTCTCTTCCCATGCCTCTAGCACACACAGCCACCTGTCTCCCCTCTGCCTTCTGGGTGGAGTCCTCCTGACTTCTGAACATCCCTGTTCCTCTCCCCAGCTGGAGCCCAGAACACTAGCCAACACACTTCCCATAAGTGCAGTGCACAGGTGTGCAATCGGGTGCTGGCCACTACTAAACAATGGACCCAGGAATGGAGATTTCTTCCCTCCCAATTCTCTTTGAAGTCTCCCAGTTCCAGGATCCCATGCCAAAACCAGGTTTTCTGGAGAGAACTGCAAAGCCAGTTCTTTCCCAGCAAAATAATTTGTTTCCTGGAACTGCTCAGTCCCTCTGGCTGAGAGTCCTGGGTGACTGCAACCCCCAGTTCCACCGTGGGATTGCCACACAATACCACACATTGTACACATGAGCTGCACTGGTTGATATGGGTGTCCCCAAATTATGGTCCAAACATAAATGGCAGTATACTTGATGTCAAGTACAATGCCGGCACTATGCAGCAGGGGTAGGTAAAAGGGCACTTTCAGGATTACTATTACTAAAATGATACATGCAGATACAATTTCCTGTTTTCAAGCTTTACTGGGTAATTTATACACAATTCATGAGCTGGCAGGAGGAACCACAGCATGTGGTGGGTCTAACAGGGATTTGACACACCCAAAGGGTCAAATATCTGCTCTGGCAAGGGAGCAGGGGCTGTTCTTTTACAGCCTGGGCATTGTGTATAAGACAGCAAAAAGGATTTTTACTTACACAATCCCTCACCCCCGCAGGCTCCTTCCATGCTACTTGACTGGCTACTCTTCTGTAAGGTGCTCCTTCCGTCACCGGCACTCTAAAGGCATTATGTATAATGAAGGGCCATTATGTGTGTATATATATGTGTGTGTGTGTGTGTGTGTGTATATATATATACACACACACAGATTTCATACCATAATTCCAGAACAATGTACACAGGCAAATATGTTATGCCTGGGAATCCTGTTTACAGTTATTTTAAATCAGAATTGCTTAGTACATTTACAATACCTTCAGATACACTTACTAACGTCAAATATATTATGTGCAGCACATAAATGCTAAATTTTGCATGCCTAAAAGAGCCCAAGTTGTTGCTAACCCACCAGTTCTGCCCTTTAGTAATCAAGTCCATTTAGTCACACGTGTCAGGAAAGCTTGCAGCAGACCCACCGCCATCTTCTAGTGAGCTCTCAGCTAAATTGTACACAATCATTTCAGGTTTCACTTCAGAAATACTGCAATCCCCTTGTGGTCTAATTAGGGATTTTTTTTCCAAATAAGAACGTATTGAACAAAATACTGTATAAGAAAAAATATTTTCGAACTCAAAACTACAAAATAACTGATAAAGTACATCTAGAATTATTTAGCTTTAACTCTGTTGTTTCTGTAAGGTAACTTTTAACTAGTGCTGGTAATGATTACAATTTTCGTGTTCGATTAATCAACATTTTTAAAATCGATTAATTGATTCATTTCAATTAATTATAACGCACATACAGATCCAACT